AGAGGTCTGCTGCGCCATGTGGTCACCCTGGTGGGGGATCCTACTGGTGCTGCAGCGGCTGCCATCAGCCCCTCAGTGATGAGCATAACCACCAGGGAGGGCCCCTCAAATAAATTTTAGATACTACACTTCATTAATTTATATGCTATTTCTTTGTAATTTATAATCAATAAAATTTGGTGATTATTTGTTCTAGAATAGAGTAGGCAGAAGTAATGATATTTTCTTTCATTTTAAGATGAAGAGTCTATTCTTGAATCCCCAAAGGTCTCTTGAAGATCTTTGGATTTTCAGAGAAGAATTCAGAATTTCTGTTCTTCTGAATTGAATTCAGTTCTACGAAAACTGTTTGTAACCAGTTATCCATAAAACCACTATAATTACTATACCATGATAAACAGTTAATAGATAAAATTTACACAACCATTACCATGACCTTGGTAAACAAGGACCAAAGGAAATGTACACACAACTTATATATAGTTATACGTTCATTTCACTAATGGTAATGAAAGAAATAACTAATTTGAAAACATAATGAATGAGTCACTTTATAATACTCAGAAAAAAAGAACTGAACGTCAACTAGCATCATCCACAGGTAAAGACAGACTTTTGTACAAAGTGTTCTAAATATGCAAGTAATCAAACTAAATAGTGAATATTTGTATAACCACTTCCCCAAATAACAAAGTTATCTAAAGTTTAAAATTAGTGTGAGTTAGGAATTCCATCAACTGTTATTTTGTCTGCCTATGTTTTCTGAAGACGATATTTTTGCCATGAGCCTGTCATTTGATTGTGAAGAATAGTGAACCATTTTTCCACTCCTTTATAATCCCAGTTATGTACAATGATTCTTCCAGTGCAAAAAAAGTCAGGTTAGATGACAGCTATATAAAACTTAATATATCCTTTTTTTTGAAAGAGGTAAATGTGATTTTGATCTAAATTGAGCTTTATTTTGCCTAATTGGTCTTATTTGTTTTAATGGACTATCTACAGAACAATGTGAAAGAGAATCTAGTGTTTAGTCATTTAGCTTTCTTTTCTACTCAGAAACACAAAAGATGCTTCACTTTT